TCTTTGTCTGGTTTTGGTATTAGGGTGATAGTGGCCTTGTAGAATGAGTTTGAGAGTGTTCCTTCCTCTGCAATGTTTTGGAAGTGTTTGAGAAGAATGGGTGTTAGCTCTTCTCTAAATGTTTGATAGAATTCACCTGTGAAGCTATCTGGTCCTGGACTTCTGTTTGTTGGAAGATTTTTAATCACAGTTTCAGTTTCATTACTTGTGATTGGTTTGTTCATGTTTTCTATTTCTTCCTGGCTCAGTCTTGGAATTTGTCCATTTCTTCCAGGTTGTCCATTTTATTGGCATAGAGTTGCTTGTAGTAGTCTCTTATGATGCTTTGTATTTCTGCAGTGTCCGTTGTAACTTCTCCTTTTTCATTTCTAACTCTATTGATTTGAGTCCTCTCCCTCTTTTTCTTGATGAGTCTGGCTAACGGTTTATCAATTTTGTTTATCTTCTCAAAGAACCAGTTTTAGTTTTACTGATCTTTGCTATTGTTTTCTCTTTTTTTTAATTAATTAATTAATTAATTAATTTTTGGCTGCCTTGGGTCCTCGTTGTGTGCGGGCTTTTCTCTAGCTGTGGTGAGCGAGGGCTACTCTTGGTTGTGGTGCGGGGGCTTCTCATTGCAGTGGCTTCTCTTGCTGCGGAGCACGGGCTCTAGGTGTGTAGGCTTCAGTAGTTGTGGTACGTGGGCTCAGGTTGCCTATCTCCACTTCATTTAGTTGTTTTTCTGGGGTTTTATCTTGTTCCTTCATCTGGTACATAGCCCTCTGCTTTTTCATCTTGCCTCTCTTTCTGTGAATGTGGATTTTGTTCCACAGGCTGCAAGATTCTAGTTCTTTTTTTTTTAACATCTTTATTGGAGTATAATTGCTTTACAATGGTGTGTTAGTTTCTGCTTTATAACAAAGTGAATCAGCTATACATATACATATCCTCATATCTCCTCTCTCTTGCGTCTCCCTCCCACCCTCCCTATCCCACCCCTCTATGTGGTCACAAACCACCGAGCTGATCTCCCTGTGCTATGCGGCTGCTTCCCACTAGCTATCTATTTTATGTTTGGTAGTGTATATATGTCCATGCCACTCTCTCACTTTGTCACAGCTTACCCTTTGCCCTCCCCATTACCTCTCTTGTAGGTTTGTGTCTTTATTCCCATCTTACTCCTAGGCTCTTCATGACTTTTTTTTTTCTTTGATTCCATATATATGTGTTAGCATACGGTATTTGTTTTTCTCTTCTTGACTTACTTGGCTCCGTATGACAGACTCTAGGTCCATCCACCTCACTACAAATAACTCAATTTTGTTTCTTTTTATGGCTGAGTAATATTACATTGTATATATGTGCCACATCTTCTTTATCCATTCATCCAATGATGGACACTTAGGTTGCTTCCATGTCCTGGCTATTGTAAATAGAGCTGCAATGAACATTTTGGTACATGACTCTTTTTTTTTTTTTTTTTGTGGTACGCGGGCCTCTCACTGTTGTGGCCTCTCCCGTTGCAGAGCACAGGCTCCGGACGCACAGGCTCAGAGGCCATGGCTCACAGGCCCAGCCACTCCGCGGCATGTGGGATCTTCCCGGACCGAGGCACGAACCCGTGTCCCCTGCATTGGCAGGAGGACTCTCAACCACTGAGCCACCAGGGAAGCCCCTACATGACTCGTTTTGAATGATGTTTTTTTAAGGTATATGGCCAGTAGTGGGATTGCTGGGTTGTATGGTAGTTCTATTTTTAGTTTTTAAAGGAACCTCCATACTGTTCTCCATAGTGGCTGTATCAATTTACATTCCCACCAACAGTGCAAGAGGGTTCCCTTTTCTCCACACCCACTCCAGCATTTATTGTTTCTAGATTTTTTGATGATGGCCATTCTGACTGGTGTGAGATGATATCTCATTGTAGTTTTGATTTGCATTTCTCTTATGATTAATGATGTTGAGCATTCTTTCATGTGTTTGTTGGCAATCTGTATATCTTCTTTGGAGAAACGTCTATTTAGGTCTTCTGCCCATTTTTGGATTGGGTTGCTTGTTTTTTTGTTATTGAGCTGCATGAGATGCTTGTAAAATTTGGAGATTAATCCTTTGTCAGTTGCTTCACTTGCCAATATTTTCTCCCATTCTGAGGGTTTCTTTTGGTCTTGTGTATGGTTTCCTTTGCTGTGCAAAAGCTTTTAAGTTTCATTCGGTCCCATTTGTTTATTTTTGTTTTTATTTCCATTTCTCTAGGAGGTGAGTCAAAAAGGATCTTGCGGTGATTTATGTCATAGAGTGTTCTGCCTTTGTTTTCCTCTAAGAGATTTATAGTGTCTGGCCTTACATTTAGGTCTTCAGTCCATTTTGAGTTTATTTTTTGTATGGTGTTAGGGAGTGTTCTAATTTCATACTTTTGCATGTACTGTCCAGTTTTCCCAGCACCACTTATTGAAGAGGCTGCCTTTTCTCCATTGTATCGCTTTTACTGTCTGCCCTCTGGTGGACGAGGCTATCTAAGAGGCTTGTGCAGGCTTCCTGATGGGAGGGACTGTTGGTGGGTAGAGCTGGGTGTTGCTCTGGTGGGCAGAGCTCAGTAAAACTAGTCTGCTGATGGGTCGGTCTGAGTTCTCTCCCTGTTGGTTGTTTGGCCTGAGGCGACCCAGCACTGGAGGCCACAGGCTCTTTGGTGGCGATAATGACGGACTCTGGGAGGGCTCACATCTAGGAGCACTTCCCAGAACATTTGCCGCCAGTGTCCTTGTCCCCACCCTGAGCCACAGCCACCCCTTGCCTCTGCAGGAGACCCTCAAACCAGCAAGTCTCCTATGGAGTCACTCCTATGGAGTCACTGCTCCTTCCCCCTGGGTCCTGATGTGCACACTACTTTGTGTGCGCCCTCCAACAGTGGAGTCTCTGTTTCCCCCAGTCCTGTCAAAGTCCTGCAATCAAATCCTGCCAGCCTTCAAAGCCCGATTCTCTGGGAATTCCTCCTCCCATTGCTGGAACCCCAGGTTGGGAAGCCTGACGTGGGGCTCAGAACCCTCACTCCAGTGGGTGGACTTCTGTGTTATAAGTGTTCTCCAGTTTGTGAGTCACCCACCGAGCGGTTATGGGATTTGATTTTATTGTGATTGCGCCCCTCCCATCATCTCACTGTGGCTTCTCCTTTGTCTTTGGATGTGGGGTATCTTTTCCGGTGAGTTCCAGTGTCTTCCTGCCTATGATTGTCCAGCAGTTAGTTGTGATTCAGGTGCTCTTGCAAGAGGGAGTGAGCACACGTCCTTCTACTCTGCCATCTTGAACCAATCTCCTTCCTCTTCATTTTTAAATCTCTTTTGTGCAGCTTTCAAAGAGCACATGGTCTCTTCTTCAACTTCTGTGGGCAGGTGAGCCTCTGTTTGGGTTGCCGGGAGGGGCGGGGGCTCGCCATGGTGCATGGAGTTCAGGGTTCCGAAGCCCACTTCTCTGCAGCTATGGTTTATGCTTATATTCTCCTATGTTTGTAATAAAGATACTACTTTGTTCTCCATCTCCTGAGTCCTCTTATTTCTCAGTTGGTCTAGAATTCAGGTGGGAAATGTGAACACTAGGTATCAGGCTCCCTGAAAATCCTCAACAAGGTAAATGAAGAACTTCAAAAGTTACAAAAATGTTTTTAAGGGAAAGCATACCTCCTCCCATCCCTGCCCCTCAGTCCCTCAGTTATCACGTTCCTCTCCCCTGGGGCAATTACTAAGATCAGTTAGTGGTGTTTTCTTTTAGAGACAGACTAAATAAATACAAATACAGGTGCAAACTCAGTAATAGTGTGTAACAGTGTGAACTCAGGCAAGTTGTTTGACCTCTCTGTGCCTCCATTTTTGTATCTAAAATGAGAATAATAATAACTGTAACCTCCTAGTGTTTTGTGGGGATTCCATGACCACATGCCAAGCGCTCCGAATAGTGATTGGAGTATAACAAGACTCACTAAGTTTTAATCAGTTTGATGAATGCTGCAATTCAAATTACATAGGTGACTTCCCACATGTTTAAGTAGGATACATTCTTAGAAATAGAATTGGAAATGTTGTTAGCTGTTGCCAAAATGCCTTTCATAGTAGTTGTGTCAACTCACTCTCCCACCAGTAGTATATGTGTGTCTTAGTTCCCCACAATCTTGCCGAAACGTTTTGTTAGCAAACTTTTTGAATTTTGCTAATCTTATTGATGAAAAATATCTAATTGTAGTTCTAATTATGATTTCTCTTAATATGAGTAAAGTTGACTTTGTCTTCATATGTTTAAAGGCATTTATATTTCCTTTTCTGTGACTAGCCCAACATTATCCATTGTCCTTTTTCTTTTCTCTTGAGTTGTTGATTTTTTTTCCCTGTTGATTTATAGGAACTCTTAATACATTAAGAAAATCAGCCCTTTGTCTACAAGATGCTCTGCAAGTATTTTCCCAACATGTCATTTGTCTTTTGTCTTTTGAATATTACTTTGTAAGTCAAGCTAATTAGTCTTTTCTGGTTTATTGAACAGGTGTCCTGCATTCAAAGTCATGCTCCACTCTGTTGTTTTAAAAGTCCTCCCATATTTTCTTCCAGTACTTTTACGATTTTTAAAAATTTTTTGACACATCTGGACTTTTGATACAAGGAGTAAGATATAGATCTGATCTTATTCTCATCTACATGGTTACTTAATTGTCTCAACACCATTTATGAATAAACTAATTTCCCCCAAATGATTTGATGTGCCATCTTCATCATACTCTAAACTTCCTCATGTGTTTTTGGTCTATTTCTGGTCTTGCTATTTTATCCATTTATTGATTCATGAACCATTAACATGTTTTAATTAGACATTCTTAAGAAAACAGTACTTTTAGTCAGCTGTTAAGGCCAGGCTTCCCATATTTTATTTGCTTATTTTTATGAATTTTCCTGGATTTGCTTTCTTGTTTATTGTTCACATAGGAGAGTTAGAATAATCTTACCTAGTAAAAAATAATCTTATTCATATTTTTACTAGGATCTTCTATGGGGTTATTCATTGGGATTTGGCAGAGGTGGTTAACATTTAGATTAATTTTTATTTCCCATAGAGTGTTAGGCATATATCATATGCTATAGAAAGGAGATGGACATCCACATTTGAATAGTGCTTTAGCCAATAGGGACCATGTATTTGCGTAGAGCTCTGGGATGTACAGAGTACTTACATATATGATATCTTATTTATTCTTACATTAAGAGATAAGTGTTATTAGTTCTGTTTTCAAGATGAGGAAATAGAAGCTTCAAAAGTTTAACATACTTGCCGCAATGAATGAAGGCAACTAGTTAATGACAGAGTTTGAGACCTGTGTCCCAATCGATCCTGAGTTAGTTCCAGAGTACCATCACCTCTTTAGGCTTTTCTGGCTGTGGATGAGCTCTGCACCTCTGGAGGTGATGGGGAAAGACACACCAATGATGGAGAGGGAGCCAGCATTGCAGAGAGTTTGCTTTTATTTGTAATCCTCTCTAGATTGTTCATTTGGTTGACTTGTCCCACGTTGATCAATGATGCTGAGGGAATCCTCTTTGTGCCCTGAGCTCTGTACCACACATTTGGAAGGGGACAAGGAAGGCAGTCTCAGCCCTCAAGGGGCTAACTCGCTGTCCGTCCAAGTGGAAGGGCCAGCAATCTTTTCTCAGGCCAGGAAAAAGACTGACCCTTGGTCTTCAAAACTGTTGGCTAGCATTGCCCAATCACACCCAGACAACTCCGACTGTGGTTTCACCCAGGTCGTAGTCCAAAATTTGTTAAAAGGGAAAGTGATGTATGAAGACAATGGAGCTGAGATGAGAGGAACGGGACTCACGCCTCACTGGAAAGGCAAGGTGAGTTTGTCACTTTAGTTTGAGCGTAGACAACGGAGTCTGAGTCTGCCGAATGGTTCACGGTCAGGTGATTGCTCTTTTCTTTCGAGATTTTGAAAGTCATGTTGGCATAGGTAAGTGCTTCCTCTGGGGGTGAAAACTACACAGGAAGAAGGAGGAGGAATGAGTGAGTTCAATTTGGAGGAAGGTGTCTCTTAGAAGCAAGTGACATTTAGAAACAAAGAGATCAGAAGAGCCTTTCAAAGAATCACTTGCCCAGTGCCCAGAGAAATAACACTACTCTAGTCGATAGAAGGAAACTCCCCTGGCAGCAGGCCTCCATATCCAGGAAACAGCGTGGTCGTCTTACCTTGGCTGGAGGAACTGAGAGGGGGATCCAGGGCCCGGGGACTGGAGTGAACTGCCACAAGTGCCAGGAAGAAGAGGGACAAGTCTCACCAATGGGGCCTGGAGGAATTGGAAGCTGCTTTCTTCAATTTTGGGTGAAGGGATGGGGTGGGGGGGAGGTGTTGGAGGTGGGCGGGGTGGAGGGTGGAAATGACCAGGAGAGAAGTAAAGGGATTTGAGTCCTCGGTCTGTAGAGAGGGTGGGCTATGCAAATTTTACTCCCCCTTAAAGCTAACTCTATTCTCGAAGACAGAAAAAGAAGGGCTGTCGCAGCTCTTGGAGACTTACATTTTCTGTAGCTCTTTATGATGAGGAAGACAAGGGCCATCAGCAGCAGTGTCAGTAGAACCCCACCAAGAAAGGTGAAGACCAAATATTCTTTGCTGTTGTGGCAAAGAAAATGAGCAGATGACCCGCTGGGCTTTTTGAAGTCCTTTCCTAAAGACCAGAGGGTAACCTTTCTCACCTATGGGTAAATCCCTGAAATAGCTTTCACAGTGGTTAGTTAACTTTCAATCTCACCCCCGGGTTTTCAACTTTTGGCTTTGGGGTTCCAGATCCATTTGAGGGCTCAATAAAAGCTGTGGCTCTCTTCCCCCTTAAAAATGTTCACAGGACTGCACATAGCAAATTTTATCTATAAGATTAGGGAATTCATGAATCTCTTGAGGCTTGGGGGACCCCAGGTTAAGAAACACACTCTGAAGGTAAAAAACTGATTTAGTTCCTCCTCTGTTTCTGGTCCCTTCTCCTCAGACCTCCCTCCCCAAGTCCATAAGGCAAAGCACTCAACACAAAATCAAATGCCATGCAGTATGAGAGGAAACGGGTGGGAGGATGCTTGCTTACTCGGGGTGGCCAGAGAAGCAGGGTGCAGAGGTCACTGCCTGGGGCTGCCGTGGAGTGGGTGCTTTGTCTGTCTTTGAGAGAACACGAAGGGCATTAGTGCATCTGCCACGTCTCTCTCCAGCTTAAGGGCACCCACATACCCCACCTTATCCAAGCAACCAGTGGAGACTAACGACAGGGCTACAGCTCCTCAAAAGGAGAGAACATTGTGTACTTCAACGCGAAAACTAGATCAGGAAATAAACAACAATCAGCTACACAAATGAAAGAAGAGCCTAGTATTTCTGCAGCCCCATATGTCCCTTTGAAAAAAACATTGCAGGGTGCTCCCTTAAAGATTTTAATAAGACCCTAGGGACAAATGCTTCCTGGGACTTAAGCAGAGAATTTCAAGGCCAGGGGGTAAAGAACCAAAAGTGAAACCCAGAACTAGCATTTCCCAAAGTCCTGGGGAATCTGCCCTTGGGAATAGCTGCCTTTTTTTGTTCATTTGTTTTTCAGGGAAGCTATTAACAGTGGCTAGCCAAAGGCAGCCTTAGTGAGCTCTCCTCACACTTATGCCACAAATAGAATAGCAGTTAAGGAAGGGAGCCAGAGTCTCGTAAACTACCCAGATGGTCTAATATTGAGCACAGAGATACCCTTTCCTCAAATTTGGAGGATCAGATAATTCTTCCTTGCTCCCCTTTTCACTCTTCTTGGCATCAGACCCTGCATCATGGTAAAATCTGATTTTTCCAACTTCGGAAATGTCGCCTCATTACAGCCCTTCAGCAGTTTCCAGTGATTCCTGTCCCTTTTAACTCAGCAGTGAAGCAGGTAATGGGTTCTGTCCTGGACTTACTATTGTTTGGTTCAAGTTTGGAAATATTACTTCCCATGTTGCTTTCTCCTGAGAATTAAAAATGGTACCTCTTAGAAAGCTTGCAAGGAGACGTAGCAGAGTGGCCAATTCTGAGACTGTGATCTTAAAATTAGAGCCGTAATGTGGGAGAGAGGCAAGTGGTGGGTGGGTGTTCTAGTGAGATCAGTGGTCACATACTTTACAGTGTGAGTACTGTAGCTCAGCAGGCAGTCCTCAGCTTTGCAGGTTCATAAGTTTGATCATATCAGGGCACCAAGAATTGACTGATTGCTCCAGAACTGACTCACACCAACCAACTCACAGGAGACTGATGTATGAACTAGAATAACATAAGAAACAAGTTGGTATAACCAGTGCATTCTATCAAAATGTATGAGAAAGCCAATTAAAATCATAATTTTGCTTGATGAACATCAAACTGAAGTATGATAGAAGCAGAATGGCTGATTTTAACATTGAGCGCCATCTAGGTCTGATGCATTTGCTTCACTCTTCCCTGGCAGTGCTGGATAAACCGACTAACTTGTTCTTGAAGGTCCTTCCTCTAGACTGCATCAGACACTTCTATTTTGTTCACACATTATATTTTCGAGTGTGAAAATGCCCTTATCTAAGCTATAGTTCTATTACGTTAAGCTTTCTGTATTTCCCTCATTTATTTATACTAAAAAGCATTAAGTACCTAAAAGCAGAAAAGTAAAATCACTCAAACTTCCACTACCTATTGTTAATATTTTAGTGTTTTTCCTTTGTGTTGTATTTCATGCATTTTTAAAAAGCTAGTTGAGATACTTTTTCATACCTCCTTGTTTTGTTTTTTTTACTATGATTTTTACCATAAACATTTTCCTATCTTACTGAAAATTTCTTTAAGCCTTTTAGTGGTGATAGGTCTTTCTGTTATAGCTATGTACTATAGCTTGCTTTTCCAGTTTCCTGTTTGTTGATAAAAATTATTCCCACTTTTATTTAAACAGAATCAAATAACAAAAAATTTTAGGAGCCCACAATTTTACTTTATACTTAGGCAAACCCATGATAAGAATTTTTGGCTCTGCTATATCTACCGTATTTTAAGGTAATTTAGTTAGACAATAAATGCCATCGATCATTTGTGTTTAATTGCTCAGCTCTCCAAAGTGAATCAGTTTCTAAGTCCTTGGACATAGAGAGGATTGGGAGAAGGACACCTCATTGCCATGTACCAGTTAGAACAGCAACAGCAACATTATCAAGTGCCTTACAATCAAACAAGCTTTTTAAGAGCATGTAATCTAAGATAACAAGAAAGGTGCCAACAGGGAAATTTGATGAGAATTCTGAGCCATGAGAATAGAAAGTCCATCATCCATGGCAGAATCAACAGTGGCAACAATTTTTCTAGCACTTTTTGCTCCTTTTCTAGTATAAAAGTCAACGGTGTTCTTTGTAGAGCACTGTAAAATATTTATATAGTATTTTTAAAATATTGAAATACATGTTTACACTAAACATAGTATAAACATATCCTATGAACTTTTACTAGACCATATCACTGGGGAGGTGGAAGAGGGGAGGATCATAGGTTTCCATAAAATCTTAACCTTCCCATGAGTGGCTCTGAATTTACAACCATCCCAAAGAAATGTTAGCACAGCCATCTGAAACAAAAGCTCGGTCCCCCACCCTGAAAGACAAAACCATCACATGATGCTACAGGGAAATAGTTACTTACAGATCCAGGCCAAAAAAAGCAGGAAACACATTCCCTTTGAAAATGACACTCCAAACATTTGATAGAAGTATAAATTAAAATAGAAACAGTGCTATATATGTATACTTTTTCATATTTTGTCCAGCATTGGTGAACCTTACTGACTGTCATAAAATCTACCAACTAAATTCAGCCATTCAAATGCAACCCTTCCCCCATCAAATAAAGTTAAAAAGAAAAAAGTTACGGAAACCACTATAAATTAGGTAGCATTTTCTTTTGGTGATTATTTCGTCTAGATTAAAAGCATGGAGTAAACACGTTTACCTTTTAAGGAAAAGTCTGGTCCTAAGATGTCATTGTCTAAGACTGAACTTTTCACCTGCTGCTTCTGTTACCACCCCTACTTTTCAGAATGATGAAATAGTGATTACTGCCACTGCCACTGCTACATCAAGCTGTGTGTCGCAAAGATCTTGTCTAAACTCCAGGGCAGACATCCTCTTTGTGGCCAACACTGTATTTTTTTAATTCCGTAAGCAGAGGGCTGCTTTTATATCTTTTGACACATGAATGCCAGAACACAGGGAGATAAGTTTATTTCTAATTAAGTATTTATTGAATATGTGACCACCATGCCAGATATAGTAGGGGTCACAGTGGTGTGACATTATCATTGTCATCAAGCATGTCATAGTCCCATTTATTCTAGCCAGGGAAATGCTCTTGATAAAGAAAAACAAAGAGCAAACGGTGTTAAGAGTTTAGTGAGGGCTGGACAGATTTTTAAGTGTTTTAAGATCATGGAGATCTCTTCAAAGGGAAGGCGAACCATTTACCTTGTAAACATTTATCGATAAAATAATATTAATAAATATGCTCATTAAATAAACACAGTGGGCCATGCAGTGGGCTAAGTGCTGTGGATATTTCAGAGAGAAGGCAGAAAAGCTCCTCATGGGGCCTACCGTCTAATTGAGAAGAGCAACGACAAACAAGAAAACAACAGATTAATCACGGATGTGTTACGGGCCATGAAGGAAAGAAGCAAAGTGCCATGCCGGAGAGTAAATGATGGGAGAACATCTTTAGATAAAAGGGAAGGCCTGTCCAAGGAGTGATATTTACCCTGAGAACCAGAGGATAAGAACGAGCTGGCCGGGCAAAGAACCTCCTGGGGAAGACAGCTTCAGGCCGAGGGCAGAGCAACTCGCAGGCCTGGAAGAAGGGAAGGGCTGGCAGAGCTGGCAGAATCAGGCAGGACTGTGTGCAGGGAGACCTGGAGGGTGGATGGGGGAGAAGAAAGGGACTGTGTGAGGAAATGCCCAAGCCCAGGATTGGTTGCTGGGCGTTGAGTGATTTCTGGGATATCAGCATGGTTCAAGAGTGGGGCCTTGGTAAAGGGTGAGACACAGAAAAAAGTTGCATAGATAGATTTGAGACATATTGTGGAGGTCTTTAAATCCAAGCAAAAAATATATTTTAAACATTAATGACAAACAACTAAAGGTTTTTGAATTGGGGTATAATACGATAAACATGGCCTTTAAGGAAGATTATATCACATCAAATAAGATAAATTGTGGGTAAAGAAAGAGACAAGGAAATAAGCTGGAGGAGTATGGCAATATCTCAGGTATTTAATAAGGGTGGGAGCATCAGGATTGGGGAGGCATCCACAGGTATAATAAGATTGGAAGTTCTAAGACTTGGGACCTGGATACAGGGAATGAAATAGCAGAATGAGTCCATGATTACTCCAAGTGTTTGAATCTCAGTGGCCAAGAGAATTCATTTGTTCATTCACTCCAAAATTGCTTACTGAATGTTTACTATGTGCCATGTACTGAGTTCTAAGTTCTGAGGACATAATGGTGGGCAAAAAAACAGCCTTTTGTGCAGGATCCCTGGCTGTATATGCCTATGATACAGGGAACGAGGGACAGCTTCCTGGAAGAGAATAAGCCAAAATCTTTTGTGAGATGGAGTTCCACTAGGCCAAGATGGGGGTGGGTGGTGCTGGTGGTGGTAGTAACGATCAAAGGGAAGAGAACATTGAAATTCAAAAGCTCTGTGCAAGAAAGGAGGGCAGGAAGTGCCCCACCCCATGCCCCCCGAAAAAAAGACTAGCATGAAAGAGCAAGGAAGTGTGTGAGGTGATGCTGGGGTGCTGGGGGTGGGTATGGAGTATGATGGGGATGAAGTTTAAGAACCAGGCGGGGGCCAGTTCCCTGAGAGCTTTTGTCTTTATGACAAGAGAGGTGAGCTTATCTGCACTGAAGGTATTTAAACAAGGGTGATGTGATCAGACTTGCTTTCTAAACAATCACGAAAACTGGGGGTGGGGGGGTGAGAATAAATTGGAAGGGAGCCAGAATAGATATGACAAGACTGGTTAAGAGGTTATTACAGTGATCCAGTTGAGGGATAATAGTAACTTGGACTAGGGTGGTAGGTAGCAGTGGAGAGACAAAGAAATGTAAATGAACTTGAGAGATGTTTAGGAGCGTGGTAGAAAAAACAAGGGAGGATAAAAAGTCGAAGACTACGATCAGAGATATCTCCAAAGGGCAGAAGGAGGAAGAGCAGCCAGAGAAGGAAACAGCAGTAGTTCCAGACTTAGAGTGACGATTAATTAATCAGACATTTACTGAGCACTTACTATGACCCAAACATACTGTTAAGTTCGGGAGTAAGTGTAATGAAATGTTGTAGATGCTGTGTCAGACATACAGGATGGAGTGGGACTCAAAGAGAAAGGGCTCAGGTTGCACAATAAGGAGGGAGGGTGGGGCCTCCCTGGTGGCACAGTGGTTGAGAATCTGCCTGCTAATGCAGGGGACACGGGTTCGAGCCCTGGTCTGGGAGGATCCCACATGCCGCAGAGCAACTAGGCCCGTGAGCCACAACTACTGAGCCTGCGCGCCTGCAGCTTATGCTCTGTAGCAAGAGAGGCCGCGACAGTGAGAGGCCCGCGCACCGCGATGAAGAGTGGCCCCCGCTTGCCACAACTAGAGAAAGCCCTCGCACAGAAACGAAGACCCAGCACAGCAAAAATAAATAAATTAATTAATAAACTCCTACCCCCAACATCTTCTTTAAAACAAAAAAAAATTCAAGCCTTCTCTCTAAAAAAAAAAAAAGGAGAGAGGGTGGGTGTCAAGAAAAGCATCATAGAGAAAATGATGTTTGAGTTGCATCTTGAAAGATGAATCACATTTTGTAGGCAGACAGAGGAAGGAAGCATATTCCAGGCAGAGGAACAGCCTGAGCAAACACATGCTTTGTCATGTTTGTGATGTTCAGGGAAATGCAAGTATTTCACCGTCACTGGTGCTACAGGGAATGAGGGTGGGTGGGGATGGGGAATGGAAAGAGAAAGGCTGTAGAGGAACGACAAGCTCACATGGTGGAGGACCCTAAACAAACTTCACCTTAGAGGCAATGGAGACAGTGCTGAAGGATGTAACGTGATTACATTTGGGTTTGGGCAACAGAGTGTAGGAGGGACTGGTGAGGGGCAGT